AGATAGTGGCAAAACCATCTTTTCTAAGCCCACCCCGAGGGTGACAAATCTGCATTTTAAGCCTACCTGCGGGTAGCAAACCATCTTTCAAAAAAACAAACATGAAATGTTTTGTTCCAATTTAGGCGACCCGGTCTATACTTGTATGCTGTGCGCATCACATAGTAATCTAGGCTAATAACCAGAATAAGAACGCATAATGTTTTCAAAAATAGATATCATGGTTAGTAGAGGCCGATCTTTGATCGGGCGAGCGGGGTGCTCACGAAGTGACCTTCCCCAATCGTACCCAAGTTCCCGAGCCGAGGCAACTTTGGTGATGACGGACACGTGGCCTTAGGCAACGAGTCAGGGTTTCCTAAATTTCCCAAAATAAAATATTTAGGTGGCGACTCTGTATCTTGCAAAGCAGTCCATGTTTGGCACTTCTTTCAAAATCTGTTTTCTCAAAACGATTTGTCGGATTTGGACTCTTTGATTCAGATTATGAACCGTGACAATTTGAGAGTCCTGAGCTGTAGTGACCCCAAATGAACAGAACGGGAGCTCACCCTCCCGGGGCGTTCGGGGGACGTCTACAGTAGGGCCTCACAACGGTGATCTGAACCATTTATATTCATAAGTCTCAAAGAGAAAAAACATATATACAAATGATCAACTTGATTGAAAATCAATATATACACTAACTAATTGTGTTTTGTTTTATGAAATTGATGATAAATATTATTTTAAACCAAAACTGTTCATTTTATAAAAGAAAATACGATAGTTAGTATGATTATCGATATCCGATTAAGCTAATTTTTTACATATATATCTTCTCTTCTAGGTTTATGAGATAAACAGTTTATATTATTGTGGTTAGGGGTCATCAATGGGCCTGGCCAGGCTTACGTAGCCCACAACTATAGTGTCCAAATTCCATATTTTAATGGATTTTTCGAGTTTTGACCAATCAATGGGCTGGTATGGGCCGAGTCTATTTAAAAAATTAAAATCACGTCCCACCCATAAGCCAAAATCTTACGGGCCAAAATAAATCAAAAGGGGCTACACATTCACTTATATTATTAATTTCTACACATTTTTCATTCACATATCCTTAATATTTTCATTAGTTATTTTTCTTATTTACTTTCCAACATAATTCAAGTATTTTGATTTTTTTCTTTCTTTTTTTTCTTTTTTTTTACATCCCATATAGTATAAAAAAAAAAAATAAAAAAAGCAAGTAACATATTATACCTACAACTGGAGGGGCCAAAAATGGAAAGAAAAAAAAATAAAAGCTTTAAACATGAGAACAAAAATATATATATATAAATACTCAAACTAAACATTAGACCAAAAAAACTCAAACTAAATATTAGACTTACCATGAGGGCTCTTACAGGCTGAGTTTATGAGCAAACTCAGATTACAAACTTTTGTCTAAAATCCTAAATCATCTTTTATGAGTTGGGATGGGATGAACACTTAAGTGAGTTGGGACGGACCATGAGACGGGTTCGTCAGGTTGGGTAATATCGAGTTTTTTTAATCACAAGCCATTTGGAAACCCTTAATTGTGGTGGAACACCACAGAACCCACAAAGTAGAGTCTAGAAAGTTGTCGAGGAAATAAAGTCTTGAGAGGAGCTGCACTTCCACAACACAAAGTCCGTTGATTTTGAAAGATAGAGGAGGGGATTGAATTAGGATAAATGTGGAACCCACTGTAATGATGTTTGTTTGCAAAATAGGAAAAGGGATACACAATCCCTTAGGACTATGATAGGTCTTAGAGAAAGGGATTAACAAAGACCTCTAAGGGTTGGATTTCAAAACTAGTAGGAGATTAGTCTGGAAAAAAAAAATTAAAAAAAAAAAATTCTATTTTGCCCATATTATGTGTTGTGTATTTGTTGTGGTCTTTTTTTGTGTGTGTGTGTGTGGGTATTAGGTCATTATATATATATATATATATGTATTAAAATAATATAGTACAAAAAAATATTTTTAAAATATGATTTTTTGATATAAAAATATATCAAAGACATCTAAGAAGGGTGTTTATGGTA